TCGAGCACAGAAGTAAACAGCAGAATCTTCAGCTGTCAGACTCTTGATCTGCAGGTACTGAGTGCTGCTGGACACATCCTGAGTCAAACTGAATCGACTTTGAAAAGAGCTGGCATAGGTAGCAACGGTTGTTTGCGTGTTTATCCAACCAATCCACTCCAGAGCTTCTCCTGGCTTTTGTTTGATCCAGCAAATGCTGTAAGTAGTCATCGTATAACCAGATGTGATACATGAGATCTTGACTGTCTCTCCAGGTCTTTTCAGCTCAGATGGAGACTGCTGCAGTCTGATCTCACTCCAGACTCCTGTAAGCAAAGTGAAGAAATGGAAACTCATGTAACATTAAATATATATTGTTGCTCTGTAGCTGCAGAATTAAATTTCTTACCTTGAATAGCAGCTAAAAATAATAAACTCCAGACAATCCTACTTTCTATTCCATTCATAGTGAATGACTGGTTTCTGATGATGAGGTTTTCTCAGATTTATGAGACTGTTGTTCTCCACCGTATGACCTGATGTTATTGATGGTGTGTTTTTAAAGAAGAACTAGTTTGCATAGACCTCCCTCTGCAGGCTGAAAGAGGGAAACATGGAGTAAAGAAGCAGCTGAACTTCTGCTTGAGTGTTTTGACAACAGGAGAATTCTTGTAAACTGCTGAACTGCTGACAAGGTTCTGTCTTGTTGTCTTCCTGCATATTTATGTTTCAGAAAGTGGAGCATGAATGAACACTGTACAGGAGTCCAGTTACCAAAATTCAAGATTAGCTTCATTTGTTTAAAGTTAATGCTCCATTAATCAGCATTATAATAAATAACCAATCATTTCTTATGCACTAATATGTATTGGACGCTCACATGTTCTGTGAGCTGAGAAATTTGAGGTTCTTCTGCAATACGAACAATATTATGATGCATTTTTTTTTGCACAACAGAATTCAGTACAACTGGACATCTTTGAGTACATTAAGGTTCATGTTCAGAAATAAACATTGAATTTACTTTAGTCATCATTGATAATGTCATGCTCACACATCCTCCAGTAAGAATATGTATCCCTGAAGTTCACTGCACACATTAGAGAAGCATGTGGTCATGAACGCCTTTGAATCTTAAATTTTTTTTTTACAATTTTCTGATCATACTAGGATCTTAAAAATGTTTGACCATGTGTTAATTTCTAGTTTGTTTGAGTGGGAAGCAAGTCTTAAAGTGATCATTTTAAATCTGGATTCCCATCATTAAAACACAGATTATTGAAATGAAGGGGATAAAAAAAGTTCAGCTTTTTAAAACTTTTTTATACGAAGGTGTAGCGTCTCTTTCAGGAAGTAACTGTCTACACACACAACATGTTT